ATGATATCTAGCTATATATGATCTAACATATAGTAAATTTTCTACTTAATAGGTCTACAACAAATATACAAAAAATAGAAACCTAGACAACAAGAAATATTATTGGTCACATATAATTTATATACAGTATCTGACAAAGTTTTCTATATCTATATTTTCTTATAGAGAGGTGCTACAACCTTGAAACTTTTCAGAAAGTTAGTATATATATAGTTTAGATCATATATTTGTTTTAAAGATTTTTTAATTACTAGAAAAAAGTTTATATGAGAGCTAAAGTTGAGATATTTTTTATTTAAAAAAAGTAAAAAATTAATTGAATTCAAAGAAAAATTAATATATTGTCAAAGCTCAAAGCTAAAAATTCTAAAAAATTTATATATTAAAATTTAATATTTTCTGTAGTAGTGATAAAAAAATTAACTTAGTTTGATGAGATAGTTATTGAGAAATTAATTTTTTAAACTTTTGATTTTTATTTTTATCATGTTTGATTAGTGGATACCTGATTTTATTTGTGTTACAAAATGTTTTTTATAAATATCTCATAATTTAGCAGTTTAAATTTAATGATTTTGATAATATACAAATTGTTTTATCAAGATAATTTGAATGATACCAAAATCATTAAATTTGGATCACTAGAAATTGAGATAGTTTTGATTGAAAAAACTTTTACTTTGTAATTTTTAAAAATGAAATTCAAACTTCAAAAATTAATATTTCAATAATTTTCTCATCAAATCAAGACAAATTTTTTATCACTACTACAGAAATTATTTAATTTTAATATACTAATTTTTAGAATTTTTAGCTTTAAGCTTTTACTATATATTAATTTTTCTTTGAATTTAATTAGATTTTTTATTTTTTAAAAACAAAAATCTCAAATTTAGTTCTTATCTAAACTTTTTTGTAGTGATTAAAAAATTTTTAAAAAGTATACGCAATCTAATTTATATATATACTAACTTTGCTAAAAATTTTAAGATCGTAGCATCTTTTTATAAGGAAATATAGGTGCAAAAAATTTTTATTAGGCTCTGTATCCAAAAGCTAGAGAGTATTATTTTCTTCATATTCTATAAAATTAGTATATAGAGCAATATTTTTCAATTTCTTTAGAATAGTTAATAATATTTATTATCCTAGTTTTAAAAATACTTGTAAAGCTCTAAGATTATTTCAAAATAATAAAGAATGTGATAATTATTTAAACAAAGTTTAATAAATATACTCTAGATCACAAATATGATATTTGTTTGCTACAATTCTTATATTTTGTTATCTTACTTACTCTGAATTATTTTGGCAAAAATATATCACTGCTTTAGTAATTATATACTTTTTCAAGCCTATTTAGAAGCTAAAACCAATCTTGCCTATATATTTACTAACTCTGATATCTATAATATAGTATTTAAATGATTAAAAATATTTTACTTAAAAATAAATTTATTCTTACTAATTTTTCAAACATGTCTATACCAATTCTCTTATTTAATGATTACATGTATCATAATTATTTACTTGTTAAGGAATTATAATATGATTATAATATTCTTAAAACAAGAGCTAAAGAAATCTATTTCTTTTTAAACTCAAAACAACACTCTATTTTTGATACAGTAATTCTAGCTATTAACAATTATAGCCTGCTATATTTTTTGTAAATGGACCTTGAGATTCAGGTAAGACCCTTCTATATAATACTATATTAGACAAAGTTAGATCTACTAGAAATATTGCACTTGTAGTAGTACTTCAGAAATTGCAGCTCTTTTTATTAAATAGAGGTTATACTGTATACTCTTTTTTTGATTTTTATTAGAATTACATGAGGATTCAGTATATAATATATTGTATAGATCAAATTATGCAAGCATCATTATTTGAAATAAAGCTCCTATGGCTAATCATTTTGCATCAGAAATTATTGACTGAACTCTCAGAAACTTAATGAAAGCAATATATTCTACTTTAGAAAATCAGCCTTTTGGTAAAAAAAGTTATTGTATTTGGAAGTAATTTTTATCAAATTTTATCTATAGTACCTAAAGAAAGAAGAAAAGATATTTTCAGTTTTTGTTTATTATATTCTCCTCTATAGCACCATGTGAAAGTTATAAGATTAACTATCAATATGTATTTACTACAAGCTGAAAGTGTTGAAAATGCTACTGAATAACCAAATTTTGCTGAATGGCTTTTACAAATTGGTGAAGATCATGTTGAACAAATTGCTAAAATGCGCAACTATATTAAACTTCCATCTGATATTTGTCTTTCTTCACAAAGCATAGACGTATTAATAATTTCTGTTTATCCTAATATATCACTACATGCTGGTGATCCAAATTATTTAATGCACCATGGAATTCTTGCTTCAAAGAACATGGATGTTCAGTTTATTAATTTAACAGTCATGAATATATATCTGGGTGATAAAGTTAAATACTTGAGTACTGATAGCATTGATGAAACTCAACATAATAATATTTATCTAACTGAATTTCTCAATACTTTAAATGTCAGTAGATTACCACCACATAAATTATTATTAAAAATAGGTGCTTCTGTTGAAGGTCTTTATAACGGAACATGTACAATTTGTTGTTCCTTTTCACAGCATGTGATTGAAGTTCAAATTATTACAGGAAAACAAGCAGGCTTACATGCATTTCTTCCTAGAATTTCTCTTATGCCTTCAAACTCAACATTTCCCTATTCCCTTACAAGATGTCAGTTTCCCTTACAACCCGCTTTCGCCATGATGATAAATAAAGCCCAGGGTCAAATGTTAAATAATGTTGGGCTTTATCTACCTACACCTGTATTCTCTCATGGTCAACTTTATGTTGCTTGCTCTAGGATGACGTCTAAACAAAATCTTAAAATCCTAACAACAGGCCAACATACTAATACTGGATATACTCAAAATATTGTATATCCAGAAGTATTACAATGTTAATACTTTCTTTTTTTATCTTACTCCTGCTACTATTCTCTTATTATTACTTACTTATTATTTTTTTATTAACTATCTTCATCTATATTTTCTTTATATCTAGCTATTCTAATCTATTCTATCATCTGCTTTTTGTTTAATTTTACTTATTTTATATTAATGCTTTCTCACTTTTTTTTACAGGCTATTCTTGAACCTCTTCCTTCTTACTAATCACTATTTTCCGTCGACTTAACTTTGGTAAGTAACCTTCCTATAATACTTTTTTTCTACAATAAGATTCTTTCATTTTAACTTTTTATTTACTTTATTTATTTCGATATATATTTTATTTTTCTATCGATTTATATATAATAACTATCTCAAACTTCGTCATATATAATTTACCTTTTTATTATTTATATAATAACCTTAATTCGAGCGCTATTACTAACTCCCTTTTTACGGCTTACCCCTTTTTACTAAGTATATTAAATCCACATGCGAAATATATTATGTAATATACTCTTCAACCATCTCATGTACCTGTTCTATTCACCTTATCACCCTGAATCTTTTCATTCTTACAATTATCATCTAAATAAAATTCTACCTTCATGCTTGCCCTTACAATTACTATTTACTTCACACAATAATGTCTAATTTCAGGTTTTCTTTCACTGTTATGCAAATATTTAATTCACCG